CGTATATATATATATATATATGTATATATATGATATATGTATATATGTATATATATGTATATATATATATATATATATATATATATATATATATGTGGTGTGTGTGTGTGTGTGTGTGTGTGTGTGTGTGTGTGTGTGTGTGTGTGTGTGTGTGTGTGATGTGTGTGTGTGTGTGTGTGTGTGTATGTGTATATATATACATATATATATATATATATATATATTATATATATATATATATATATATATACATTTATATACATTTATGTTTGTGTACATGTGTATATATGCAACTCGGTTTTAAAGTAGCTCAAAACGGTCAGACTGCATACGCAGGTAACTAACGGTCATCAGAGACGATCGTTTGTTTACCTAGAGCAAAAAACATGAGATTTAAGTGGCAGTAAACAGCCATGCATAGTCATTATGATATACAAGCAGTGACTGAACACATTTCAAGACTCAATTTGAGCACAGACGAGTAATAGTTTGCTCATGAAAGCCACAGACACTAATTCCTTGACATGGGAATATTGCGAATAGTTCCGGTCGGTTAATGAAAGCATATGACAAGATACTCATATAGTACACGGTCGAACTCGGTCTCGCGTGCAGGTGTCGGCACACCTCGCCCCACAGGTGTACAGAACTGGTGACTGACCTTTACTCTTGTCGCGGATGTTTGAAATATAGAAAGAAATTCTATGACAATGTGTTAACGGCTGCAAGAGAGCATTTTTTTTTCAAAGTGTTGTCGGCAGTTTGATCAAGAGGCCATTGTGGTGTTCAGACGCAGGGCCGATTCTGACCGTGATTATATGAACGAAGGGAAACAGAAATGATATTCCAGAGAAAAAGAAAAAAAAAAAAAAAATGGCGTCGAGGTTATTTCGCTCGGCCAGGTGGAAGCTAGATCGACCTGGATCTTGTCACGAATTCTAGAATCATTTGTGTGTGTGCGGGTATACTCACACATATGAACAAACATGAAAATAATCATTTGGATGTAAAGAGGAAATACCATTCCGTGATCTAAATGTCAGTCAACACATTTCCACTTGTCATTTAATGCCAGTCATCGCAAAATTCAATCAGTTATGTAATGACTCAGCGAAGGATACAAGAAAGTAAAACTAAACCTATATTACTAACTGGTTTCTTTACTGATATAATATAGCTGTCGAGGCAGGACAAGGGGAACAAAATCACTGTCCAAGCCGGTCCGAGACACTGGTCCCTGTCTGGCAATGGCTTCCTCTGTAACTGTTATAATTCTAAACTTCTCTTATGTATATCATGATACTCTGTACTCTCGTTTTTTTCATATAAATTTTGAATATTGAACCCTATTTCAGAAACATTCCCATTCCAAGTCCAAAGAGAAACAAGATCCGTTATCTACATTCCAATCGTTATGCATAGCGGCTGTTGCTCAAGCCTGCGGTTTCATCCCTCATAAACATAACGAAAAAGGAATACTTCTTGACACCACGATGCACGGGGTATTTGCGCTGGCGAATGTTAAATCCGGAACCAACAATCGCACACGTGTTTTTCTACGTTTTTTCTCGAAACGATAGAATTTGTAAATAAAGGGTTGGTCACTAGTTTTATTAATCTTGGAATAAGATAAAAATGTGATGATGTTACAGCTTATCTGCCGCTCAGCAACAAGTTCTGGCTTCCCAACAGGGTCTCTAAGCTCATTCTTATCAGTGCTTGGAACGAGTGTTATCCAAGATTTAAAAGTTCACTCTCATATCGTACGGTCACATCACAGGGTCACTGAGCATTCTTATCATCCAAAATATGTTAACTTATGAAACAACTTTGCGGAACATTTTTGCAATTAATTGTTAGTCTATGGATAATAGTCGTTCTGAAAAGCTATATGGGTAAGTAAAGCGAAATCTAAATTTACACACACACACACACACACACACACACACACACACACACACACACACACACACACACACACACACACATATATAATATATATATATATATATATATATATATATATATATATAAACGAAAACTCATTCCCAGACTGTATCACTGTCAGTGATAATCATATTATCTCTTGACACAAAACTTCATCCCCAAAGATTACCTTTACCTGTTTGTTCCCTACGATAATTTTGCATTTTAAGTCAATATCTTAATTTTTAATTAATTTAATCAATCATTTTAATTCACAAATATTCACATTCTGAGCATGAAAACCAAGATCTCCAGTACAGTTTAGCCTAAATACCCTCCTCTCTCTAAGGAACGGCTCAAGTACCTCCTAACCTCAAACAGTTTCGTTCTCGCTGCCTATCGGGCGGGGCGGTTAATCAACAAACCCAGTCTGAGTGGAATGAGGTCTTGGCCAAAGCCTCAGACGCCAGTGCTTTGAATCCGTGCCTGAGGAAAGCTTTTACGATGGCTCTCGCGGCCCTCCTGTGGGAGATGGTTCGGCTGTGGTGGTCCTTTACTAACGGTGCGGTTCTGATGGTCTTCGCTGCGGCTGGAGGGTTGTGGTTGGCGGTGTTTTATTTGAGCGACAGGAAGAAAAATAGGTAATGTTGAAGTGGTAGTTGGAGTGAGATGTATTTAAGTAGAACTATTTTTGGAATAGTTGTTTGGGAATAACTCTAAGGATAAAGTGATTTTGATAATGGCAATGCCACTGTTACTAATTATGTTTATAATAGTCTTGATGATAAGCATAATGATAATTATAGTGATAAAGACGATGGTATTAACAGTAACAACAACAATAACGATGATGAAAAAGTGATGTGACAATAATACTAATGGTAACAAAAACAACAATAGTATCAATAATCACAAAAGTAATTGTAATGATGAAAATAAAGATGGTAATAATAAAAATGATCAATCATAATCATAATAATAGTGATGATAATGATAATGATACTAATTGTAATAATGGTAATAGTAATTATAATGATCATGATAATTATATAACTAACAGTAATAACAATAATAATGATAGGTTACTAACAATTATAAAGATAATGGCAATGAGGATTATAATTATAATGCTAAAATAATAATAGCATCTACATTAACAACACAACCATGATAACAACAATGGTTGTAATGATACAGTTATATTGAACCTGCCCATAATGGCATCTATAATTATATTGATAGCAAGAACACCAACATTAACAACAATCAATAGCAATTCAGTGATAATTAGTTATAGTAAAAATTATACTACCCCCAAAAATGTCACAAATGATAATGCATGACAGCGAGAACAATCATAACGAGAATAGAAATATGATAAACAACAATGCCTATGATAATAGTAATAATTATAGTAATATTGATGGCAGTTACATTGCTGATGGTAGTGTAGGAAGACCGATATTTATATGAGACATGCATATTTTTTTAGGGACCGATGGCAGCAAGCAGGACGGGACGTGATCGTGGTACACTGCCTTTCTCCCGGACGTTTCACCCCGAACACGTCGCCTTTTGTGATGAAGCTTCTCACCTTTTTGCGCCTCGCTCGTCTACCGCATTTGGTGCGTTGTTGAACACGTTTTTATTTAATCAAAAACGTTTATCCAGGATGAATATGAGTGTTATTGTTATTTTTGAATTAATGCTTCTTTTAACCAAATGGGTGAGTTATCATTAGGATGCTAATTATGCTTTTTCACTGTTGCAATCAGTTAGTGCAGTGAATAAAATTATAGTGTAGTTACCCCTAAATGTCATAGTCGTTTTCTCTGCTTCACAGGTAGACCACGAAGAACCGTTCGGACCGAAAGGCAAAACTCCATGGATTACTCTCAATGGCGAGGACTTTACTGATTCTCACCTGATAATAGAAATGCTATCTGACCAGTATAACATTGATTTAACAAATTCCTTGACGGCAGAACAGAGAGCGGCTGCAAAGGCTTTTACTGTTATGATTGACGAGCATGTTTGTTGGTAAGAGTTGTTTGTTCGACATGATTTATGATTTTGTAATGTGAATAAAATAACATTAGTATGATAAAGGAGGCGTATGAAAGATTTGGGAAATATTTACGGCTTTACTAATATCTCCAGCGTTTTCTATATCAGCCACCCAATCTAAAGTAAACTTAGGGGAATTTATTGAAAATTGGAAAAAAAAGAGCAGTCCGACATCCATGAAACATTATAACAGTCCTCTTTTCCTTTACTGTAAGGGAGAAAAATGTTTGTAAAATCTCAAAACGTTCATCGAAAGGTAATATACACAGTATATAATTTCCTACTCAGGAATATTCTCTTTTTCGGACATTATTCATAAAAGGTGTTTGAGGCGTGGCTTTCAATTTGAGATTTCATACTCCTTTAACAGCTGAATTTACTCGGTCCTCCTTTCTAGCACCTGCAGTAACCATCGGCGTTCCCTCATTACCCTCATGAATATCAGTAACTTCACCCTGTCTTTTACTTCTACCTTCGAAGGTGCTTGCGGGCGTGGCGCTTCGGCGAGGACGGCGGCAGCAACCTGAAGGAGGGACTGAGCTTACCTTTCTACAAACGACTCCTCTTCCCTCTGTTCGTGAGGGAGCAGCGGACTGCACTGTGGCACCAGGGCGTGGGTCGCCACTCGCACGCCGCGGTCAGGGCAATGATGAAGGAGGACCTGCTGGCGCTCTCGAAGTACCTCGGTATGTTGGGAAGGGCGTGCATACCGATGCTGTAGTTCGTCTTTTACAGTCTATTATTCCTTTTCGTCACAACGATAACACAGTACATACTTATATTAAGAAAGTGGAATAAAAGTTGATGTTATGATCATTGTACAATAGATATCATTACTACCATCATTATCATTGCCATAGTTGTATCATTATCATTATCATCATCATTATTATTATCATTATCATCATAACAACAATAATAATGATAATGATAATTATTATTCTTTTTGTTGTCATAATAATAATTATTAATATCGCTATTATTATTATCATAATAATTATCATTAT